CAGCGCCTTAGTATGTCTTCGTGCAGCTGGTAGCAGGCTTCAAGCCCTGCAGCTCAAGATAGGTTATAACTCTATCGCTACCGCATGAGTTCAACTAGACCCGACGTTCGCACTGTTTGCAGGCTTCCAACCCTTAAGTCGGTCAGCTCTTCGAGCTCGAGGAAACGGAAAGAGTGGCAAAGAATTGCGGCCATGCTGAAAGCTCGCCCGAGCTCCTCACGTGGCTCATCCTTCCGCTGCCTTATGAGCTCGTAAACAGGTGCTGGAATTGAAGCTGACAGCAAAATTCATTGCTTATAACTTACAATGCAAAAGTTGGGCGTCCCGCACATTATATGGAACTTTCCGTGCACATCATCAGCTGGACCCCTGTTTCTGGACAGGCAGACATTCTTCTGAGACTAATCATGTCCTGGTATATCTTCAATTCAGCGTGGGCTTATGTAGTTTTGAAGACTTGTGGGCAGCAACGCTTGGCAAATGAAAATGATCACAACTAGCCCAGGCTTTCATTGGCTACGGCAAGCAGCGCATCCCAGAAAAGGCCGGGATGTTTAATTTGAGGACAGTTGGCGTCACCAAGAGGGCTTATACAGAAGCTGTGGACCGTAGGCCTCAATCAAAGCATACATCACTGTTTGGCAGTCGTGCTTCTGGGTTGTACATCCCCTTCATGGGGTGGCGCCCGCAGAACCGCCGCAAAAGCAGACGCTGAAGCTACAGGTAGGGCACGAGAAAGATGTTTGTGGCCTCATGTTCTTAATGGCAGAGCGGGGGAGGGGAGCAGTCCTCAAGCAGCGGTTGGTGAGGCTGTGGTACACGGCCCCTGTGTTAAACGCATTGCGACGTGCTTGGTCTGGAATGGGAGAACGGAAGGGAGAATTAAAAAAGCGAAGCTGTTGCGTGATTTATGGTTTCCAGCGGCCAGGAGCCTACAGAATGTCAGTCGATCTTTTGCTGTCGCTTAGTTTTGGATGAGTCCAGGCTTTTCTTGGAGGCGTCCATCCTTGTACCGTAATCCCAACTTGCTGTCATTGGTAGACAGTCAACGCGCAAGATTGCATATGCAGATTTAGAGCCGACATGGATGTGCCGGACTACTGCAGTAGATGGAGGAGCCCAGCATGTCGTTGTCTCTTCCATATACTGTTAGACAGCGGGCATTGCCATAGCACAAGCTGCAAAAGAACCACAATCCCCATCTTGATAGACATGCTTTCTACCCGTTCTGTGTGTCGTCTGCTCCTAGTCCTCTTGCTCCTGCTGCCGCTGATGCTGCTGCTGATGCTGATGTTATTTAACGCTGTTGATGCTGGCGTTGATGGGGCAACCGCGATGGTCCTGCTGTCCCTTCTGCCGTTGTTTCATGTGCCCGAGGCTTGCTGCGGCCAGGTAATCTCACTGGCTAAGATACCCAAAGAGAAGGCATTCAGAGTTTCCATGTGGAAGCATGATAACATGATGGGGAGTCTTCCGCATTTCGGTCGCTGCACAAGCGACTCTATCATTAGTATTATTACTACTGTTAAATTTGTGATAACTATTATGAACCATGATAGATATTATTACCATTATTCTCACCACTAGTTCTGTTTCTATGGTCTGGAAGGCGCATCTTCTGGGTGGCCTGGCCAGGGCAGCAGACCAGCCTGGTCAACACGGCCATGCAAGGCGCAACTCATTGGTGGGTAGTAGGCACTATAAGGGAATGTAGTCCCTCTATATATATATATAATCTACTTATATATATATATAATATACCTATATATATATATAGATATTACATACGAGCGGGTCAAAACCAAAGGCTCACACACAACATTTTATTACAAGGGGTACGTAACAGGGCGCGCCTGGCGCGACAAACCCTCCAAAACCATGAGAGCTCTCAGTCTTTCATAGCCGCGCGACAACGCGGTACAGGGGGTCTGTAACAAGCCCTGCGCTTGAAGGGTATGTAACAGAGGCTTGTCCGCGCTGGCGGTTGGGCACGGGGTTTCGATAACTCCCATATACTCCCTGTATGATATCTTCCTGAACTCCCTACTAACCACCAGCAGTGCAAGGGGGAGCTAATCGGGCTTACACTAATCTTGTCAGTTTGGGGTTCAAATTCAAGGGCATGAACCGGCTTAAGGAGGTTTCTAACCCTACCTATGGGCTCCAACTATCTCAAGCAGGCAAGAGTTCATACGCTGCATGCGAGTTGCACACTCAGAACCCCCAATCCCAAGCAAGAGTCTCTACGGACATGTGTGGAGTATGAGATTGGGTGCCATTGGGTGCAACCGGTAATTTGCATCATCTTGCTGAATACATCGGTCTTTACAAATCTTCCACGTACATGCGGTGTTACACGCGTGTACTGACCAGTATGTGGTGAACACCAAACGCTGCTATTCGTTGTGCAACTTCTTTTCAAAACATCCGCGTTGGCACATTGAGCTTTCAGCACACGCGAGGCTGGGTTGGGTTTGAGTTTTTGGCAGTGAAGGCCGGGTCAAGACTACGAACTGAGGAACTTTCGCTTGCGCAGCATTTGGAGGTAGTCGCTGGTGAGGGCGTTGGAGGTTGAGGGCTCAGGGTTTTGCCTTGCTGGCATCCAGGATTCTGTGTTTACCTTACCCCTCCACCCCGAAGATGATCTTCAGAATTCTTGCCTTTGTTGAGATTTATTCTGTCTACTATTTGTGAAATTTTGTTTGGAGAATGTGCCACAATCCAGATGCACAGGAGCATCGTCAAACTTCTGCCCGAGCAGTCCTCCAACCCTGACGTACATCTCCCATCGAAAGCGGTGTATGGTAGGGTGAATCTCGACGTGGACAATAAGCCTCGAACCTTAGCCGGCGACTTTAATTCAGTGCAACGCAGGGCCCTCAACTCAAATCCCAACCTGAAACAGAGCACCCAGCCTTCAAATTGGCTAGAGCACCTGTTGAGATTGGGCATGGGTGCATGCAATGCCGACCTCATGGTTAAAGAAGTAGAGTTCCTAGCAACTGTCCAGAGCAACATAATGTAAGGCACAGTGGTTGCTCTATGCACGAGCCCTTAATCCCAGCTTTGAAACAATCAAACCCCGCAAAGCAGCATTCAGGGATGACGACTTCCAGGATGGCATCGAGCGAGGGATTGGGCATGGCAAGCCTGGTCCTTCATGAGCTTATCTTTGCATGATGTCGTCATCCTGTGGAACTTCTACAAGTTTGAGAAGCTGTCCTTCATCTACGCGGGCATTGCTATGTGGGTTTTTCAAAACTCTTGTAAGGATGGGAGTAAGGGGAATATTCCAAAGAAGATGGGGTTTGAAGATGCCTTGTGAGGGTAGAGCATGAGCATGTTATCCAGCTTCTGGAAGCCTTGTACAAAAGTGAATCTATCCCCGGTACCACAGCATCATGCCCACCATCTTGGACACTCATGGTTTGCGATCATGCCGCATGAACGCACGTACGGTTCTGGCTGCAGAGCCACCAACGCCGTGCCCACAAGATGCTAAGTGAGTTTCTCAGCGCCCTACAGCCTTGACAATTCTTGTAGGTTCTCGTTGAGGGATGAATAACCCAAGCCATACTCTGGGCCTAAGAATGTATGGTGTTCTTCTCGGCCTGCTGCCACGGCCACTGAGTCGCACATGAGGATCTGCATGTACAAAACCTAGATGGTGTGAGCCTGCATGTTCGAGAGCTTGGTCGGATCATTGTCGAGAGTCATGTGAACTATAGTCTAAACTTCTTAAAGGGGGATGTATAGGTGATTATATAGGGGACTACTATTGGGGTTACTAAGGGGATACTAGGAGTTTAGATAATGGCTCATGTGGTTATTCTGGGCATGTTGGAAACTGCTGTTGCTCCTTTCGGCTTGGACTCAGCGCCCGAGATCTCTGCTTGTCGATCTTGCACCGCCCTCAGGAGCTTTGGATAGCAGAGAGCCCCTAATTAGTCCTTTCTTCAGGCTAGGACCTACAGCCGCACAGAAGCCGCACAGTCGGGCAACGCCCAATTCTGATGTTTCTGAATATGTTCCGGTATTCAGGCATATGGACCCTTCAAGATTTTGCAGGGTGCTTCTGGGTTCCTACTGCACGAAATGGCAACTTAGTCCACGTGTCCGCTTGCCCGTTACAGTTCCTTTCTTCTGGCACTCGGATTTTGGATCAGCCTGACCATCTTGATAGGTCACTCTTGCAAGAGGAGGTGCAATTGGCAATTTGATTCCGGATACAAGCTCGTCCATAGCTTCCAGAGCAATCCAAAAATCAGCGGCTAGTTATGCTAACTCATGGTGAGCTACAGAAAGTGTCCAGGATCTTCTTCATTGAGCCTTTCATGTACATTCATGCACATTCATTTACATGCTGGGATCCTGGATTCTCCAAAAGGTTTTAGTTCTACGCAGGAGCAAACATGCAGAAATGGTGCAGGGATTTGTTCCGCGGATGATGGTACAAGAAGGTATAAGACTTTCTTACCAGAGGTTACGTAGCTCTCTGTTGCGAGGCGCCAGGCTTGGTTGGCCCTTGGCTGACTTTTTTTTTGCATGCGCAGATGTTGTTGTCTATTACACATTCCCGACAGCTTGCCTGTTCGACTTCCGCATCTCGGCAAGCATGCTTGCACGAATAAAGGCTTTGTTAGTGATGGTATGTAGTGGAATCAAAGGCCAGCTGAGTGCAACTGGGTGCCAAGACCCGAGCCCGAAGCTTCACCCTAATGCGTGTAGGGGCGCCCTTGGATGTAAGAAATTCCCAAGTCCCATGCCTCTGAAGCGTGCACCTTGGGAGTCCGCGAGCTTAGGCGGCTGCTTCCTGACCAGATCACTGAAACCTCAGATAATTCTGAGATTCAAAACCGTGCAAGCAATTGTAGCAAAAGTGGGCATGAAGTCACGAGTAGCTGTGATAATTGGTACTACACTGCCACTATTGCCATTGCTACTACGTGTTGCTCCTGCGCCGCAGTCAGGCGAAGCCTCTTTCCACTTCTGCAGCGATCATGGCCGCAGCATGCTTTGATGGGTAATTTAAGCGTTAGAAATAGTTGCCAATATCATGTTCCCAGGTTCCTGATACTGTTGCAGCACATGCTTAAGTGGACCCCAAAAAAGATGTTGTTGATTATGTGGGTCCGATAATGTGTTCCTTTTTCTCTTTATTAGAGAGGGGAGGTAGGGTTTTTACAATGTTTTCTGGAGGATATGCCTGTCGGGGTTATGCACAGGGAGCATTCATTCAGGGATGTTTTTTGCTGCCTTGCAGTGATCGATTTCGGGCTCAACATGTACTGCACAGTAGCCATTAGGGTCGGCCAGGGTTTAGGAGTCTACAGTAGCTTCGTAAAATCAAGTAAAAGGTTTCTGCTCAGGGTTGGAGATGTTGAAGGAAACGGGATGAATTCCTAGGGAGTGCCTTAATATTTGGAGCCCTCGCTGCTGCATCTCATAGATGCAACAGAGTCCGCGCCAAACACCGACCCTCCAATATCTCCGCTGTACTGCTGTTGTATGCTCCCCCCACAATCAAGAGATTCTTTTCGTAAAGGACCAATATGATACCGGTTTCCATATTCTTTTCCATTATCCCTATGTAACCCTATCATCACCCATTTACATCCATTTACTAGTCATATTGTCAGCACATTGACTCATTGGCAGGGCGTGGCTGATGCTTAGAGGGCTGAATTCGCTGACCTGACGCGTGAGCAGTGCCAGAACCAAAGCCAGAATGATGGGACTGCCGGCGTCATTTCGGCCGATCATGCTAGGAAGTTCATCAAAACCTGGAGGCTACTTATGATAATTCGCCCCAATTCCAATCCTGAGCGTTCTGCTGAATACTAGTACAGGTTTGGTCTTTGAAGCCTATACATACTATTATATGCCCCGCGCCGAATCCTTAAAGCAAGGCTATGGCGCTGCCCAGCTTCGCAACCACCCAGGCAGAAAAACCTGAGCAGATTGTTTGAGCACAGCTGTGATGAGAGTAAGCGGCCGCCGTACGCTCTTTGTACGTAGAGCCGCAGTGAGGCGGCATATTGATCGATGGTAAAGGGCATCACTTGGGCCGATAAGAAGCATCTTATAAGCAAGAGCGCCTTGTTTGGCGTGCTAATGTCCATTCAGTAGCGTTCTCATTAGGATCAAAGGATCCTGCTTGCAAGTTTAGCAAGCAGGTTTTCCTGATAAGTTCTTTTGGCCTTTGCAGATTGGACGGGGGTCGCCAGAATCTTTGTACTGGCACACCTCCACTTATTACTGAGTGCTCCCCGCCGTGCAATTGGCCTCCTGTGAACTTTTTTGTTCTTTTCGCTTCGTCACTTCCCTCAACAAACATCGTTCAGGGCTCACTAGGGGTCTGTCTCAGCTGTTCCGTGCATCTATGCGACAAGCAGGTTAAGGGCAAGAAGGAGAAGAGCCGGCCCCTCAGAGTTGAGACGGTCGCCTCGCGGGCTTTGGTATTGCTTACATGCGTTCCGCGCCTTGATTGGGAAATGTCCGGCATTGTTTGTCAGCCAAGATGTTGGTTTGATAACGGTTGAGTGAGCAAAGTAAAGGCCTCCTTTCTGCCCGCCATCCAGCATCCTACGAGAGGAGCTCAAGGCAAAGCCATTTCGAAAGTTTTGAATCGGACCGCGCGTCTGAAACTCATGCCCATCAGGCCTTAAACCTTGATGCTGAATCCTAGACCATGCACCTTCACCCTCAGCCTACCCCGGAGGACCAGTTGTCTGTTCTTACAGTCTTCAACCCTCGATGCCTCAATGTTTCAAGCAGCGTCCAGGTCCGAAGAAGGTGCTCTTGAAGACCCAGCAAGAGGCTGGACACTTCTTTGACCAAAAAACTTGTTCGTTGCATATCCAGAACCAGTTTTGGGCCGTAGAGGTTGTTTGAAGGGCTCCTAGGTTCTAGGTCGCCTGGTGATTCGAAAGCCAAGTTATGCCCCTGGCTATGCGCAAAGGAGTCAGTCATACTGCTCCTGAATGATGGGATCAAAGCTTCGCCTGAACCTGAAGCCAGGCCTCAGAATTCGAGTTTCCATCATGAGGACCTGTGCACTCCTGCACAGGACTTTTAGTTACCCAAACAACAAACCCAATAGCTATAATCCCTATAGTAGCTTCCATTTTAGTTTCCACTATCCCAATATAAACCCTATATTACCCCTATAATCCCTATAGTAGCTTCCATTTTATTTTCCATTATCCCAATATAAACCCCAATATATTCCCTAGTTTCCATTTCATTTTCCATTTTCTTTTCCATTTGATTCTCCATTATAGTAGTTTCCATTTTCTTTTCCATAGTTACCCAATATAACCCCTACAGCAAAAGGCCTGGGTACTAAGGGAAGCACCAAAGCCTTCAAGCATCTCCTGACAGGCTTTCAGCGCTGAGCTTCTTTGCCGCACTGTTTTTATTGAGACCGCTGTGTTGATGCGACTATAGGGATTATAGGGGTAATATAGGGTTTATACTGGGATAATGGAAAATAAGATGGAAGCTACTATAGGGATTATAGGGGTAATATAGGGTTTATATTGGGATAATGGAAAATAAAATGGAAGCTACTATAGGGATTATTTAGGGTTGATGCATTGGCTTTGGGCTTTCAAACCAGCGTGCGTGTCTTGGTCAAAAGCCGGAGCTTGCACAATGTCCAACAAAAGGAGCCTCCCAAATTTTGAATCACTGTGGGTGTTTCATTGTTGACAAAACGCGTTCTGTGGGGTTTGATGCTTTAGATTTCAATTTCAGCCTCCACCAAAGGGTTTCGTTTTCGAACCCAGGACGGGGCAATGAAGTTGTGCCGAGCGCACAACAGCCATTAGGTGTGAGTGTGTTTGCTGTTTGGAGTGTGGATTTTCGGATAGTTTCTGTGTGTACGGAACCAGAATCTCAGCAAGAGGCGAAACGAGATATGCAACGTAGTTATGATCGTACGCAGCATCTTGCGGGCAAACTGTAGTAGAGGGTCAGAACCAATACACATGGATGCATAGGATGACTCAGAGAGAGCCAGGTGCAAACCAGAGAAGAATGATGACCCAAACAGGAAAAGTTTTGCTCGTAGTAGGTGTCCTGCATGTTGACTTGCATGAGTTTTGTCTAGAGTAAAGCCTCCAAAGAGTTCGATTTGTGAAGTTTTCATGCTTTGTGAGATGTGGCTCCTGCCATGAAGCTTTTCCAAGAAACAACCAGGTTGGGATCTTAACATGACGGGATGGGTTCCCTGTGTTGGGGTCATTAAAACCACTTCTGAATCCCTTGCGGTAATTATCCAGATTGGCCCTGAACCCAGACATGACTGCCTCAATGTTGCTGTCAGTATCGTTCTAGCCTACCTGGATTTGTTTTTTTGTTGAGCTTCTGCTTTTCAATCTTTCACTCGGTGCTTAGTGCCAAAGAGCGAGCAGCCGTCGCCCAGCACGTACCCAAGAAGCTACAATCTAATACACAAACATTTTGCCCAACCCTGAACCCTTCACCCAAGCTTCTGGAACGTGACATCTTTACGCTAGGCCCTAGAACCCTCATCACTACTACCGATAACCCCCTAAATTGCCTCCATGGGGCCTGAAATCCTAGTGCTCGTGCTTGAACTGGGTTGCTGAACAAACGCATTTACCAAGGATCGTGGCAAAACACCTGTTCTCAACAAACCCAATGGGCTTGCCTGATGGGTTGTACCTTAATGTAACCTCTCAAAAAGTTCTGCAGTAGGCCGTTCTGTGGAAGGAGAAAATCTTGCGCCACCTTACATGCCTTACACCGTTGGAACTACAGTTTTCTGACCACCACCCTGGCTTTTTAACCATCTGGCACCCTGCTCTAGTCCGACGGACACGCAGCCCGCCTACCTGTTGCGCAACGGGCTGGAGCCAATCCATGAGGCTGGGGAATTATTTATTGAAAGCCTAGTTACCTACAGCTTGGTAGTAAATACCCTGAATGAGTAGATATCACCCATATAACAACCTGTTGGGAACTGGGGTTTAGGGACTGTCCTGTTTCAGAAGATACAGTGAGGATTCAGAGGTTGAGGGATCATCGGTTCTATCTCTAATTTCGGGGCTTCAGGATTTCGGGTTAAAAGGGTAGGGGTAAGCTTCATCCATCTTCTCATCCCTGACAAATTGGACCCTGTGGTATTGCCCTACTGCCCTGGGACTCTTGCCTGACTTTCAAGCTGTACGCATGCTTGCATAATTTGCTCCCTGGCGGGACAGGCATTGAACTTTTTTGGGAGGGCTATGTCAGTTGATCACCGGCCAGTTCTGCAGCCAACCGCGGTCAAGACTTTGAGAGACAAAGCCGCTGTAGGAATCTTTTTGAAGTGGAAGCATCTTCGGAAAGCAACGTACGCTGCTGTAAGCGAGGGAGATGTCTTGTTTGATTCGTTGCCCCCTACGGTACTCGTACCTTGTATCTGTTCTTAGTCCAGCAGGCCGCAGGCCATTGCATGTTCACAGGATGAAGAACACTTCACGACGATCGCACCACCGCCGGGTCTCGAGAAGAATGATGATGCTTGGTTGTTGCAGGGTGACCAGTACCTGGAATCCGCGATAGCGCTAGTTCAGTCAGATCTCAGCAGCGGATATCAAAGATCTGGTCTTGCTTTCCGTGTTGAAGTTCATCGCGTTTGTCTAGGCAAGGCCCCATGCGATCTGCAGCAGTCAGTAGTGAAGTCGTGGGCATCTAGAGGAAGTTGCAATGATGCTTTTGGCGGTATTCATTCAAGCGGTAAGTATCCTTGCATTTGTTGTGTGCGTGGCTGCATAGACCAAGCGCTTAAGCCACCTAAACTGGCACTTCCTCGCTCGTGCCTATGTTGATGTTTTCTTGCAATCGTTACCAGCAGTCACATGCAGTGACTCACGTTCTATGGCAGGTTCTGCAGGTCCTCTTGGCAGGGTTCATCTTCGATTGGGTATAGAGGGAGGCTAGCTAAACTATTGTGTAAATCTAGTTGCTGAGGTCATCACACTCCGGTTGCTTGTTTCTTAGGATGTCTTCTGCTGTGCACATGGCATGAAGAAGTCGTACTATGTAGAGCTAAGGCGGCAGGTTGGAGTCATACGGCTATCGCTCATATGTACACTGCCACATGAGGCTGCCTGGATCCTAGCAGCAATATCTACATATGACGAGTCTTAAGGATATGCCTTGATAGGCCTTTGTAGGGTTGCGTCAAGGCTCTGATCTCACCTTCAAGGTCCGTCAGAGGTCCCCCCCCCCAAATGTACCCCCGCCAGGGTTTAAGGAGCTAATAAGGACTGTATCGAGCTTGATAAGGCCTAATAGGGTTGCAAATTTGGGGGGGTACATTTGGGGGGTTACATGTCTAACGCCTACAGAGGGAGTCCAAAAGTAGGGCCACGAGAGATATATCCCGAAAACATATTCCCAATTGCGGGCCAATCTAAGCGCGAATCTAAAGCCTAGCCCAAGAAACGTTGGTAAGGATGACTTCTCTGACAGCCTCTGGAGCCGCCAAAACCTCAGCTGAAGGTTTATCCTTAGCATCCCAAAGCCTTAGGGCCTTAGGGGTTTGGGAATGTTGGGTTTTCAGGGTTCGGGGTTTGTGTTTAGGGTTTCTGTGTACGGGTAGCTGAAGGTCAGGTTTCAGGGAAGTTTAGGCTAAATACCCAGCACCGTCGTTCGTTTTTTCGAGGTCATCCTTGTCTGGCTACCCTACACACGGATAAGCATCGATCGCAAAGCTACTTGTGGAGGTCCATTCGCGGTAGCCCGGGAGAGTCTAGAGCCTCAACAGCTCTGTCGATGGTGGTGGTCTAGAACACGTCGTGAAGAGTCTGGAAGCAGTACGACATGGTCCTGAGAATATGCTGGACACTCCGGCTGGTGCATGATGTCTTCAAGAATGTTCTGTGGATCGCCTCCCTACATGACTCGGCTTACATCACCCTTCTGTGATAGCTTTTGTTTTTTTGCACCGGCCGTGGTGTTTGCGTCAAGACAGTGCTGCACCATGCGGCGCGAACCTGCGATGATGGGTCTGGGTGAACTCTTATACCTTGAGGCATCTAGACTGAAATGGTCAGACAGAAGCTTCCAGAAACCCGACGTACATTCATGCACTTTCACACAGAGCTCCTATTCCCATCATCCGCAAGACATGCTAATCATTCTGATACTTTCCTCAAGTTATTATGCTTCCCTGCTGCATGGAGATGGGGTAACACTGCTTTCAAGCTTGCATGACATGAGGCCCTGTGTTATTCAGCCTTTAAGTTCGCCTATGTAGTAATTCGGCCCCTGCTGCCGAATCCAACTCTCAAAATGCCGGAAGCTGTGATTTTCAAGACGCTCAGCGGCTAATGTGATGTGCCAAAATGCTCAGAACGACTCTTACAATTTGTTGGGGGCGCGTAGGCTTTTGCTACAGGATCCCAACTATGTAGCATGCTGCCCGAAACAAGTACACACGGAGATCTGGGACAGTAATGAGCCTGCTCCTCCAGACGACCTTACTTCGGTTCGCGATACATGTAGGATCGGCATGGGCATAGGCTCCACCACTGGCGGCAGTGGTTTTGAGACGCAATCGGAAGAAGAGGCCACTTTCAGGGTGAAAGGGAGCAGCCTAGAAATTCGAAGAGCTCATGATGTACCTTTTGGGCGAGTAAGCGGGCTTTGTGTGACAGTATTGGACCCGGGTTGCTGAGGGCGGGGGGTGAGGATTCTTGCAGGGACATTAGCAAATACGCTGGATAGGATGAACCCTCCACATACAGCGGCCTGTACCCATATTACATTCAATGAGTTAATGTCCGCCCAATTACTACTACTACTACTACTACTAGGAGGCATACTTGTGGTATTTGACGACTCTCTTTTTTGTGCTTCTTTGTGTGAGTATCACAGCCGCCATGCACACTTTCACTGCTATTTACAGCATTTCCTGTTTGCGGAATCTGTTATTTAGTTGTTTACCTTCTTCCAGTGGCGAGTCAGGATTTTTTTGTCTTTTTTTTGCATTGTTGCGGTC